GGGGAAGGGGAGGGGAGGGGGAGAGGGAGAGGGAAGGAAGGGGAGGGGGAGGGCAAGGGAGAAGGAGGGAGCGAGACAGGGAGGGAGGAAGAGAGGGAGAGTACGAGGAGAGAGGGGAGAGGAGGGGGAGAGAGGGGAGGGGAGGGGGAGAGGGAGTACTAGCAACAGGGGGGATTGGGGTAGGGGGGAAGGGAATTCATTAAGCACCTACTACGTGCCGGGCTTTGCTTTTTAAATAAATGCTAATCCCTGTTAAAATATTAAGTAGATCTGGGGCACTAATCTCTGTCCCCTAACAGAGGAAGAAAACAGCCAGTGGGGGATGAGAGGAAAGTAGAGAAGACCCCCCAGCTCCAGGGTGGCCACCCTTGAACCCGAAGGGAGGGTCCTAATCCCCAATTTTCTCGTGTTTCCCCGTCCCCCCCACTCCGGGAGATCTGTGAACACTCCCACTCCCACAGCCTCTCAGGCTGTTCTTCTGATTCTGCCGTCCAGGGGCGGGGTGGTCCCAGAAACAGAAAGGAGACAGACCCTGGATCAGGGCACATCTCACTTGTAGTGGTATTTCTAGATTGTTTGGTCCAAATTAGACATCTGTCTATGAAGGAAGAGAATATGGGTGGGACTTCCCACCTGTGTGCCCACTTCCATCAGTTCCCACTTCCATCAAATGCTGGCGTGGGACCGGATGATGGCCATGAGGGCAGTCTGTGGCCAGTCCGGGGCTTCGGGGTGGGCAGAGAGGAGCCTGAGCTATAGAGCGGCCCCCTCACCCATGCTTCGTTAACTGGGAAATCCCCAATCCCAAGTTTCCAGGGCAGCTCTTGAGGGAAGCAGGACTTGGCCAGGAGGTCTGGGGAGCATCTTCTTGGTGTCCCGCCACCCTTTTCTGCTACCTAACCTTAGCCAAAAAGCCCCAGGGAAATTCATTCTTGTGTGTGCTGGACGCAAGGAAGGGGGTGAGGAGCCCAGCTGGAGACAGGAAGAGCAGGAGGGATCTGTGTGAGCCCAAAGCCCACCCACGAGGCAAGGTTCTGGGCAGGCCGCCGTCGGGGTGCCTCCTTGGGGGGAGGGGGGAGCAGCTGGGTGGGTGGCCCCAAGGCCCTTCCAACTGTGAGATTTGGAGGACGAAAAAGGCACTGACAAAAAGGGAGTGGCCTTTTGGCCACCACCGTCGTCCTTGGAAGCAGCTGGCCAGCCTCCCCCAGCTCCGCCTCCTGGCATCTTCAGGTCCATTTGGGCTCCAGGCTCCTTTCCAATCACCCAGCCAGAAGAGCCTGCCCTCTTCCTCCTCCCGGGACCCTCCTCTCTTGGGACACTCTCCCCAGATCGCCAGGTCCGGCTTCTCTGGCTCTTCCTGGTGACGGCCCCCTTCCCACTCTTTGAGGCCTCCAGGTCTGCTGTGGCTCCTCTCGGGGTCTGGTGGCGGTCTCACTGACTTTTGTCAGGGGCCAGTGACCGGCACCTCAGTCTCATTTGTCCACCTAACACTGAGTAACTCTTACAAAGGGATGCTCGTTTCAAAGGCCTAGCTGGTTCCAGCTGCAGACATTGTCACCCAGACCTACGGAAGGCCCAGGTTATCTCCGTCCTCCGTGGCCGTGGTCCCACCGCGCCCTCGGCCAAAGGCAGCACCTCCTAGCCTTTCTATCCCCCCCACGGTGGAGCCCCAGCGAGTGTGAGAGCCTCTGGGATGCTCTAGAGATGGGAGCAAAGCAAGCTGGTGGTTCTTCTGGGACCAGTCCCCAGCACCCAGCCGCAATGTCTACATGTGCACCAGCGTCTCTCCAAGGCACATCCCTCCCTCAGCTGTTGGTCAGTGCTTTCATGCGTGTCTGACTCTCCGTGACCCCTCTGTGGGGGTTTTTTTGGCAGAGATACTGGAGGGCTGGCCATTTCTTTCTCCAGCTCATTTTACAGATAAGGAAACTGAGGCAAGCAGGGTGATGTGAGCTGCCCAGGGTCACACAGCTAGGAAGCGTCTGAGCTGGATTTGAACTCGGGGAGATGAGTCTTCCTGACTCCGGGTGCGGTGCTCCGAGCGCTATGGCGCTCCCTATCTATCGCCCGTCCCTTGCCCGTCACACTTTTTCTCCTGTAAGACGCTCCCTAGCACCCTCCATGTGTAGAGGCACCGTCTTAGGTGGTCTGTCTGGGCACACACCAGACTCATTACACAGCAATCCTTGTCCCCATTCTGTGGATGGCAAGACAGAGGCCTCGGAAGCCTTGAACCTGGACGTCTTCCTGCCTGGCCTCTGCCAGCCTTTCTATCAGCTGAGGGGATAGAGTAGGTGGCTCTTGGGGCCCCTTCCCCATGTGACTCCCTGGAAGGATACCTGCAGCAGTGAATGGTCTGGCTTCCCTCCTGGACGCTCTGATCCCCGATCCCCTCTTCCTTGTGGCCGCAGCATGTCTGGCCGGGGGCAGGCGCCGGAGCTGCGTGGCACAGACAGGTGCTGCTCTCTGCCTCCTGCAGTCTGTGAAGGCCGGGGGTGACTCGTCATCTGAAATGATGCCCGGCTTCCGTGCAGACGCTTGACCCCCGGCCCTGGAAAGCAAAGTGAGAGAGAAGCCCCGGGAGTCTCGGGTTCGGGGGATTCTGTTTCTGAAGGAGCCTGGCTGCAGGCAGGAAGGGAAAGGGGCCTGGGAGAGAACACGGCTCTTAGGAGCCTGGGGCCGGGAGGGATGGGTCCGAGGAGCCGGGCCGAGCATCCCTCCACGCTGCCAAAGAGCTCACCTTCACCAACCTGGCGCTCAGCGGCCACGGCTTCCCCTCTGCAAACAGGGCTGCTGTTCTAAGAGTCAGAGAACCTGGGTTCGAATCTCCATCTTCCAGTTACCAGATGAGTGGTTTGGTGGATGTGGCCTCAGCTTCCTCCTCTTGACATGTGAGCCTCGGCACCCACCGCTTCTGGAGCCGGGGCCTCAGGGGTCACGACTGAAATCACTAGGGGAATTTGGGGAATCCCAGATTCACAGCTGGGCTTGACCTCAGAGGTCAGGGAGGCCCTCGGCCCACGAGGAGGAATGAGGGGCCGGAGAGGGAAGGGGCCTGGCCGCGCCGGGAGTGGAAGGGGTGGGATTGGACCTTGGCCGTCTCCAGCTGCCCCTGCGCCTTCTTTCTTTGGACGTCCACCCGGAGGCTGACCCGGACATTTCGGGCTGCCCCGAGCCCGGATGCCACTGAGGATGTGGCTGCAGGACCGTGCAGGCACGCCTACCCTTGACTTTCACAGGGGTTTGCAGGGGGCGGGGAAGGCTCACTTGAGTTTCCCAGGTGTTTCTGTCCCCAACTCCCAATGGCGCAGCTTTGCCACGAGAAGCCGTGGACAGGGACCCCTGTCAGGGGCAGCTGCCCTTCCCCTGACCCCCCGACCTTCCTTGGACCGTTCCCGGGGCTCCTGGACGCTGGTGTCCTTTGGACATCTCAGTGACTTCTCTGTCTGGGTCTGCGCCATTCCACTTACCTGGTCTCCACCATTCTTGCCTCTCCCTTTATTCTGGAAACTCCCAGCTTCCTCCATCTGGACTCCGGCTCCACGGGCGCCTCGGACCCTTAACCTTAACTCTTCAGTCCTGTCCCCTAGAGAGACGTGAGCCACTAAGGAGCCGCAAGGCCTGGCCTGAGGGAGACCAGGAGCCCCTGGTGTCCCCCCTAGCAAGTAAGCAAGCACTGGTATTTATCCCTCACCTCACATTCCTACTATGATGTGCCATCTGGGCGCGGAGGTGACCCTGGTTCTTGAAGGCCATGCAGTTGGAATGAGCCCATGCTCTGACAGGCCCCACCACACTGATTCAGACAGCCCCATCGCTGGAATGTTGGAAAACAGGAGCCTACTTCCACCCATCCCCATCAACTCATTAACTGCCTGCTAAGGCACAGAGGGATCATTATCTGTGCTAGGGGAGGGAGTGTTCCCACTAACGAGATCCTGGAATGATCAATTCCATGGATATTATGCAAGGATGTCAAGGTCTTTGGGGGCATCCAGTCTTTGAGATCTCCATTCCTACTTGATGGCACCCTCAAATTTTATAAGCGTGCCCATCAGAGTCACCATATAAAATGTTGAGTGGAAAACAAGGGAAGCTGCAGGCTGGTGCCACTGTCTGGTGGTGCTGTGTATTATCCTCCATCCCTCACTCCCATCTCGTGCTAACATGACCCGCTCTATGGCCAGAGGGTTTCTCTCCTCTACCTTCCTAGTGATCACATCTACCCTGTCACCAATGGGGAGAAGGGCAGTTATTCTCAGGAAATCCGTGTTGGCTTCAACGGTTCACTAATGCTTGCCTCTGAGAGCTGCAAAGTCATGCATTTACCAACCTGTGCTGAAAAGTTTGTAAGAGCACCTGGCACGTAGCTGCAAAGACCCACCTTCTCCTTTTTAAAATCAGGACGTCTGCCAGTCCCTAACTCTGGGGCATCTTCCTCAGTCTCTAGGATTCTGTAGAAGCCACCAAAAGTCTTTCATGCTCAAATCTTCAAGTGGTTTCAGGAATCCAGGGCATAATGCATCTGCAGCAAAACTCTTAAACTAACCGACAACAAGGAGGTGATCTCTTAATAGCTCATGTATTTATTTATTTAAAATTTTTTTTATTTTTAGGCAATTGGGGTTAAGTGACTTGCCCAAGGTCACACAGCTAGTAAATGTCAAGTGTTTGGTCTGGGGCCGGATTTGAACTCAGGTCCTCCTGACTTCAGGGCCAGTGCTCTATCCACTGTGCCACCTAGCTGCCCCCCATGGATTTATTGACATTCAAAAATTACTTTATCCTGATCAGGTTGCTGTGAAATTTGTTCACGGAAATGACAAACACACGGGTCATGGACAATATATCATTTATTTTAATGTAGTGAAAACACTTGATGGCCTTTGAAAAAGCAGCATATTGAAAAAAATGTACTGTAGCCCAACTGTGAAATAAATAACGACTTCTTATTTGACTATTTCTCCGACAAGAAAACATAAGCAACTGTTTCACATCGGAAGCGCTCCAGGGATGGTGAGGGAGGCAATGACACGAACAGCTTCGGTTATAAACTCCTTGATCCCTAAAATTTTGTGTTAAAAAATATATTATGGGGCTGTGACGTGGGCAGCTGGCGAGTGGCATCTCCAGTAAAAGCTGTGAACCGATACTCTCTCCGCAGCTCGCGGTCCAGGTATCTCTGGCGCACGTCGTCACGCAGCTTTTTGGCCTGTGGGGTGGGATGGAAAGAAGACAAATGTCAGTTGACCAAGAAGACCCTGTCCAGCGGCATCCATGCACCAGGCCCTGCGCTAAGTGCCAAGGATACAAAAAAGGCAAAGGGTAGGCCCTGCCCTCCAGGAGCTCCCATTCTGGTGGGGGGGACAGAGCAAACACCTCTGTGCGGACAAAGCGCATACAGGCTCACTGGAGAAAATCAGCAGAGAGAAGGCGCCGGAGCGAAGGCGGCTTGAGGAGGCCTCCTGTAAATGTTGGGATCTTATCTGGACCCAGAGGAAGCCAGGGACGTAGGCGGTCAGTATGGAGGAAGGAGAGCTGGCCAGCTGGCGAGAGATAGACACAGCCGGGAGGCAGGGTCACTGGGGAGCAAGACGTAAGAAGACTGGAGAGGTAGGAGGGGGCTGGTTACGAAGGGCCTTGCACATCAAACAGAGGGTTTCGTGTCTGGTCCCAGAAGTGACAGGGAGCCCCTGCTGAGTAAGAGGGTGACATGGTCAGTGGAAGATGGATGGAGGGGGAAGAGCTCTGGGGCAGGGAGACCCCACCCCCCAGCAGCGGTTGCCATGGTGCAGATGTGAGCGGATGGGGGTCTGCACCAGAGAAAAGCTGGCGCAAAGGTGAAGCCGACGGGCCTTGGGGACAGACTGGATGGAGAGAGACGGGGAGGAGTGGAGGACAGGAAGACGGCGGTGCCCTTGACGGTGAGAGGGAAGTCAGAAGCTGCTGAGGGGCTGCTGGAGAGATGAGCTCAGTGTTGCACGTGCTAAGCTGTCCACGACATTTCTAGTTCCAGGTGTTTAATAGGCAGGTGGAGACCCACAGAGATTTGAGAAGCATCAGTGTAACGACTGACGGCCACTGAACCCACGTGAGCTCAAGAGCTCAGAGCTCCGGGAGAGAGGAGGGCCTGGGCAAGAACCCTCGGGGATCCCAGGGGTTCACGGGCGTGACCAGGAGAGCCAGGGATCCATGGCTGTCAGGAAGGAAGAGGCCCGAGAAAAGGTCATTTGATTTGGCAATTAAGATATGACCATTAACTCTGGGGCAGCTGGGTGGTGTCGTGGATAGAGTGCTGGGCCTGGAGTCAGGAAGACTCATCTTCCCTCAGACATTTACTAGCTGTGTGGTCCTGGGCAAATCACTTCACCCTGTTTGCCTCAGTTTCCTTGTCTGTAAAACAAGCTGGAGAAGGAAATGGTAAACCATTCCACTGTCTTTTCCAAGAAAACCCCAAATGGGGTCATGGGGAGTTAGAAATGACTGAAACGATTGAACAGCAACAAGTGACTTGGAGGGAGAAGTTTCAGCTGAATGATCATAGAACATTCATATGTCACATAGTCAAACAAAGACAAGAATCACAATGTTTGAGGTCACAGGTTTTCCATTAACGAAGGCTGTGCCCGCACTCTGTGAAACCCAGGAGTCAGCCTGCAGCTGGGTGGGAGGTGGATGTAATTCTGTGACCAAGGAAAGCATGTGATCCAGGGCCTCCGAGGGAGGGAAGCCCTTGCTGGACAGGGGCTCTTGTGAAATGCTGCTGTCCTCTTTTCCATCCCCCTCCCCCTACACCCTTGGCCTCTCTACAGCGCTCTGTAATCCCCCCTTGCCCCTGGCCTCAGGGAAACCCCACTCTCCCATCTCTCTTTAACAGGCCCCTTTCCTCTCATCTCCCCTGAGAAGGCTCCCTACAGCCTTGGCTGCGCCACTCCCCACTCTCATTTCCTCTGCTGCCCAACTCCTGCCTTGGCCTCTCTTCCTGCTCTGCGGCCCCTCAGCCTCCCAGAGACTGTACCAGCAGCAGGTCGAGAGCGAGCCCTTCCAACTAGACCAGTCTAGAACGGAGCCCTCCATCTTCCTGCTAAGGCCAGCTGCCTTCCCTGACTTTCCTGCTTTCATTCTTTGGTCACTAAGGGCCAAACCCTTGCATCACGACAGACCCCTTCACCCTTCAGCCGGGTGCTGATGGCTATTCCTCCAAGGTACCCTTTCCCCTTCATGCCCGTTACCACTGCTCCAGCTCAGGCCTCATCCCCTCAGAACTAATCTCTGGCCACATCTCTTTGAACCCACGAGACACGTCCCCATCAACCTGACATTCATTTTCATTAGCTGGTACTTTCACCAGGCAGATCCCATGTGCCAACCCTCCAAGGGTGTCTCACTGCCCACGGGATGCGGCTCCTCCAGCGGGCCCTCCATGACCTGCCTCGCCCGTTCTTTCTGCAGGGAGCAGCTGATGTGGAGGAGGTCTCCATCATGCCTTTACCTCTCACTCGCTACTCCAGGACTTCAAAGAATGGCCTCTCTCTTGGGGAACTAAGAGTCCTTCCTCCCAATGGAGGAACTCTGAATGGTTCAGTCAAGATTCGCCTATGCACGCTCTGATCTCTGTTTGGTTTATCTGCTACTCACTATGTGTACTCATTGTGGAACTGGCATCTGGTGCAGAGACTCGAGGCTCAGACGCCTAGCTGGGAGCCCTCCTTTCCCATTACCAAAGAGTGATCAGGGATGGAATTCGCACCTAGAATTCCCTCCCCTAGACAAGAACATTTAAGGGAGCAGATAGACAGAATTCCAGCCCCTCCCTGAGGAGAAGAGAGCGGGCAGCCTCAGGGCCCAACGTCTCCCTTGAGAAGGAAGGGTGGTGGAGACCACGGGGCTTACCCGGCACCCTGCCTCATCCCCCTTGCCCCTAGAAAGGCTTCTGCCGCCAACGCATCATGAATCAGCACAGGACCTCATTAGGTTTGGGAAACTGTGCAGAGACACCATCTGCCTGACCGTCACTTGGAGGGGGAAGAAGGCGGGTGGCGTGAGCCAAAGTGCAGAGAGCAGGACAGCTCCTGGCACAGCCCAATGATACGCACAACGCCAAAGTGATGGGCAGCTTTCAGGATCTCCTCCTGAGGCGTCCCTTTGGCTTTCTTCCTTCTTTCGTGTAAGGCCTCCATGTGAAGCTTGACACGCTCTTCTATCTCCCTGTCTGGAGGTTCTGAGAAGACACAAGGCTAAGGCCACCTTTAGCTGCGCCCATTCTCTTGGGAAACATCCTGATGGATGGGAAGCACCAGAAACAGACAATAAAAAGCGCAGTGCACATGCTTCTGACCGTGTAAGGAGGGCGATCTAATGAACTGGGGCCCCTGGGCACACATGGCTTGCCACCTTGGAGAGCGGTGACAGGACCAAGGCAGGGCACAGACACTGGCCGCTGACTGAAATCCTGCACCTGATGGCCGGGTTCCTCAGTATACAGTCACCGAGCTTGGGGCGTTAAGGATGGACAGGTAAGGGATCAGGGTGCGGCTGGACACTGGCAGCAGTACCAGAGATCCACCCTGCTCCCCGCCTTTAGATCCTACCCCGGGCCCAGCTCCTCGTCCGTTGGCATGGACGAACTGCCCATACAACTCATGACATGCCTTTGTGGACTGGACAAACCCAAGGGGGTTTTGTGGGTTTGTTCCTGGGTGGTCTCTCAGCAAGGGGAGGCACCAACCTGGCAGAATCCCAAGATTCTGGGCAACCAGCACACTGCCCCTGCCTACCACCTGCAAAGGATGATGCACAGGGCAGCCACCCTGCACAAGGCTCATGTCTGGCCCGACGTGTCCTAATTCCTTGGGCAGTGGAAGAGCCAGGCAGGCAGCATGCAGCTCTACCACATCACGTTTTGCTCTGCGCCTCTATTCAGTGTGTCCCCTTGCACTTCTCAGCCAATTGGGTGACGATGGTAAGTGACCTCTTGTAGAGAGGCGGCCCTGCTCTGCCTGGGAAGGCCAGACTCCCTGTCTTGGGATAGAAAGGAGGCCTTGGGGTTGGTGCTTGGGGTAACAACATCAGTGGTGGATGTCCCCCCAAAAGTTACCCCACACAGTGCCACAGGCAGATTGCTGGTGGTGACTCCCTTTTGGGGCCTCTCTAGAGCCTGGATCCTGGAGAAGGTCATCATGGTGTGCGTGGAGGGGAGACTCTGAAACCAGGAACATTTCCTGAGCACCCCCTGGGAGTGCCCTTTGCTAAGTGCTGGGGGAAGCAGGAAGCTTGGCTAACACTCATGCATGGCTTTGCACGCAGTAGGTGCTTAATTTGTGCTGAACTGAATGAAGGAGGCCCGGTGAGAAAAGTGTTTTCTATTTAAAAATACCCCAACATCAGTCCTGCCTCCAAGTAGCCACTTCCTTTTACATTTCCATTCTGAGAGGGGCTGGAGAACTCCCCGGACGAGTGACCGACCTGAGCTCTTCCTGCTCCTGCGTCAGCTTTAACTGCATCGATCTCTTTTTTTCGAGGGAACTGAATGTCTTCTTCTCCTCCACTGGGTCGGTTGCAAATGGTGCTTTTTTTAATACCTGCAAAATTCAACAATCAGCAACTCGGCCATCCGTGAACAAGCCACCGCTGGAGACTGACCTCATTCTTCATCGGTCTGGAGAGAGGAGCCCCCTTCTCAAGAGGCAGTGGCCAGCTTTGAACTGGTCAAGTATTTTCCTAGACTTGCTGGTTGTTTCCAGTGCTTGGTTTTAACAAAGCCTGTCCTCACAAGCAACAATGCTCTTACCTCTAGACTGGTAAAAGTGAGCTCAGAGTTTCTTTGAGCACCAATCTCCCCAGGCCTTGGTTTCCCTATCTGAAAAATGACAGGGAGGTAGGATTTGATGGGCACTAAAGTCCTTTTGATTTCTAAATTTGAGGTTAGTGGTACAGTAGATAGAGCACAAGACTTTGAATCAGGAAGACGAGTTCAAATGTGGCCTCGGACACTTATCAGCTGTGTGACCCTGGGCAAGTCACTTAACCCTGCTTGCCTCAGTTTTCTCAACTGTAAAAGGGGGATTATGATAGTCCCTACCTCCCAGGGTTGTTGTGCGGATCAGATGAGATAATGATTGTAACATGCTTAGTTAGCGCAGTGCCTGGCACATAGTAAGCATTCTGTCAAGGTTTGCTATCATTATCGTTATCATGGTTAAGGCTAGAATCCCTGTGATACTACGAAATCTAAGAGGTAAGTCTGAAGGGACAATTCCTGCCATTTAATGACTCCAAGAAAAAACAAAAAACAAACAGCCCCAACTGGATTGTGAAACAGGAATTTTCTTTTTCCTACATTTAATTTAGTTTTTAATAATATTTGATTCCCCCCAATTACATGTAAAAACACTTTTTAACATTTTTTTCTTTTTGTTTTGGTTTTGAGTTCCAATTCTACCTTCCCTCCCTCCCCTACTCACACCTTGAGACAGTAAGCAATCCAATATAGGTTATACTTGTGCAGTCATTAAAACATTCCCATGTTAACATGTCACTTTGTGGAAGAAAACTCAAAATAAAAAAGAAGGAAAGAAAGAAAGAAAGAAAGAAAGAAAGAAAGAAAGAAAGAAAGAAAGAAAGAAAGAAAGAAAGAAAGAAAGAAAGAAAGAAAGAAAGAAAGAA